TACTAGTAAATTTGGTCAATCGAATATTTAGTAAGTGGTTGGTTTTAAGCTCGGCATTCGGTCAAATCATAATATTTTCAAAAAATTTTTAGGATAATGCTTAGCACGTAAATATACACATATAAAACAAAAATTAAGAGATTTTGATAAATAACGCCAGCAATATTTACCTTAGAAAATTTCCATTATTTTACTATTTACTCATAAATTAAACATCAAAGAAACCTAAATTTTTTTTTTAATTTTTAGGTTTTTCATATGTATATATACCCAAATATAAAAAAAGCGCTATCCAATCATCATTCCGGTTTCCTAAAATCATACTTACATATTTACGCATATAACGCCCTCTTACGGATATATATTTGTTAATTTTTAAAATTGAAAAAATTTATTTATGTTTTAATAAGCTATGAAAATATTTCTATTATAATAATATTAACTCAAAATAAAATTATATATTATATGATATTTAATCTGTATCCTTCATTTAATAGAAAAATAATTTAAGTATATTTTAAAAAAAGTAAAAATTTTCATTAAATAAAAAATACATAATAAAATTTTGATTGATTATGATTAAGTGCTTTTTAGCAATTCAGTATTTAGTCATACCCCTTATTTTGGCCCATATACGTCAAAAAAGGTTTAAAAATAACGATTATTTCAATTATAACTTTTCTGTGGTACATCATCATGAAATTTTAATTTGACAAGTTTACAATCTATTTTTACCCATTTGCATAAAAAAACTTTAAAAATAAGGATTATGACAATTGTCACTTATCTAGGGTACATCTTCACTGAAATTTTATTATTTAATACATGTTAAAAATACTTATTTTAACCGATTTCCGTCAAAAAACTTTAAAAATAACGATTATGATGATTGTCACTTTTATATGGTGCATCTTAAATTTTAATTTAACATGTTAAAAATACATATTTTACCGTAAAAAAATCTAATATGTTTAAAAATATAGATTATGATAATTGTCATTCTTCCAAGGAACATCTTCAATAACGAATATAAAAATTGCCAGATTAAATTATTATCCTTAAAAAGACCATATACATAAATAAGTTAAATAAAAATATTATTTAGAAAACCCACCTCTTTTAATATACTTAAAAAATAGATAATTTTACAAAAATGATAAAAAAAACTATAGATTTCACCTAAAAGATTGTTTATTTATAATAAAATTCACAAAAGAATTCCTCAATAAAGATTTAAAATTTTTATCAAAATATGTTTAAAAATCTTTTTGCACTTCAAAAAATATTATTTGCTTAAAATTTTGGGCGTTTGTTTTATTAAAAAAAATATAAAGAAATCCATTTTTCATTTCATAATAATAATAATATAAAAATAAATTATTTTGATAAAAATAAAAAAATAATAATAGACCGCGTTATATTTCGCGAAATAGTTTTCGCTATATTGTCTTCGCGATTTATGTTTCGCGATATTGACTTCGCTATAAAATTTTCGCGATTAGTGATTCGCGATAAAAATTTCGCTCTAATGTATAAGCTTTAAAGGTTTCGCTATAAAAAATTCGCTATATTATTTGCGCGGAAAAATATTAGCTAATGTGGGATCGCGATAAATGTTTCGCTATAAAATTCATTCGCGATAAAAGTTTCGCTGAATTGACATGGAACCGTAATTCCAGCTTACCTTTTTTTATGTAAGCTCAATGTTCCTATAGTGCTGTAAAGTAACGGCATTACTTTTTTGAGGAAAGAAACGTCATTCATTACTTGGTTTAAAAGGTAGCGAGTACCGCATTTCTTTATTTAATAACGGTAAGACAAAACATTTCTCGTTAGTCGTTTTTTCTAAAAAATATATTTTACTATATATTATATTATATTTCTTTTTAATTTTATAAATATTTTTCAGATCAACCACCAAAGTTCTTCATTTATATAATATTTATTACATTCTTGATTGAATTTTATACAGTTTTAATCTAATTAATTTTGAATCAATTAAGGTATGTTAATTTATATTCTTTAATATTATAATTTATTTTATAACTAATATATATCATTAGTACTTATTTCTTCAGACGAAGATGATTTAACTTTGCTCTGGCTGCAGTATAAAATATTTTATTAAGGACACTTAAGTCTACACTCTATAAGTGTATATTTTACCCTATTTATAATATTTCAACCTCGATGTCCAGCATTTCAAATCTAAAAAATCATATAGGTAAAAATAGGAATTCAGATTAAATTCTGATAAAGATGAAAGAAAATTCACAAGTTTAACTTATTTTTTCCAAAGTTAGTAATAATTGTAAGGATGATCTAATTAGTTTTTTTTTTTAAATTAAGATCATTTTTTAAATATTTTTAATATATTCCCCCAATTAAAAATTTTATTTATTAAATATAATACAACCCTTTCATCCTCTGTACTAGTGAGCACTATTCGCTCTTGTTTATCTGATCTTAAAAAAATCATGTAAATAAAAATGTATTTTTTAACTAGCGCGTTACTTTTTTATAGCGAGTAATGCATTTTTTTTATTTGTTGAGTAACGGTAACGCGTTGATATTTTCAAACGAAACGGGTTAGCGTTTCTTCTTTGTTTAACGTTTAAAGCACTACAATATAAGTTAAACTTACCTAATTTGGGCACCGTTTAAATCAAAACTTGGGCCCAACAGCTTCTTAATTTATCAAAACTTTTTCCAGGAATTTGATTGGAACTCAAAATTTTAAATGAGAGAGTTGCCAGAATTATCAGCCCAAATTAGAAAAGTTTTTCTGTAAAATATAATATGATCAAATTAGGAGAACGTTTTTTTTATTGATCGTATTTTTCTTTATTTGCTCATAAAATTAATACAAATGATAGAATGAAAATTTCCACATTTCAAATTTTTGCCCTACTCAATTGAAATATTTAGTCATAATTTGTTATTTATTGTATGTATTTTTTTTAATATGAATTAAGTGATACTTAATTTATGCGATATGTTATAGTAAACTAATGTCAATAATATTATAAAATTCAGCTTAAGAAGGAAAAAAAAACAATATTTTTAGAAATATATATTTTATTTGATAAATCAAAATAATCTACCATTTACTGGTGGCTTAAACTTGTCTAAGTAATTCATATATAAACATGTAAATAAGGAAGTAAAATATTCTCATAACGAAGTATTTATTCTTATCGATATTTTAACGCTGGATGTAAATTTTAGTTTTCATGGATAGATTTATATAAATTGTTTTAAATAGCGATTTAAATGAGCCTTATTTTTTTCGAGAAAATTAATGGCTTAAATGAATAATTTTAACCGGGGACCCGGTTAATATTGATTCGTTATTAGTAAATCCATCCAAGTATTAATTAAACATATAAATTTGTTATCCATTTGAAATTTAAATTTTTTAATATATTTGTAAACATTTACAACTATCAAAATATGATTAAAAAAGGTTTTTGATAATTTTATAGATCGGATGACCGTAGTGAACAATGAGTAATAATTATTGTTATTTGTAGCTAACTGGAATTAAGGATTGAAATATGAAATTATATTAGTGAGCCATTATAAATATCATTATAATTGAGTAGTAAAATTAAATTCTTTTTGTTATTTTTCGGAACATTTCTAGTCCAGATTCATCGTTTTTGTTCCTTTAATTTTCTCATAATTCCATTCCCGGAACTTTCCATTCCATATCTTTTACTTTTATTGTAAATTTCTCGTTAAATAAATTTGAAATGAGATCACTCCGACCCGGAAAATATTTTAGGCGGGTTATCCAGCCCTAATTTTTTTTATGAAGGGAAAAATCACAAATATCATTATTCAGGGTTAAAAAATTTATTTTGCCCCAGTTCTAAATTCTTTTGGCTCGCGGGGCGAATCATGTATATTGATATTTAAGTGAGCTGTAATATATAAAAATAACCGTATAAAATGGTGACTTAACAACTTTTCTCTTAGTCTGCATCAAATATTTTAGACCCTTAGCATACTTATAAAAAAAATTCACATAATATAGTTTATTAATTGCCAACCAGATTATTACATATTAGGACAATGTTATTTTGATTATTAATAAATTAAATACAAAAAAATTCGGGGATAAATTTTTTTCCCTTCTTTAGAGATATATATATAGATAGTAAAAAAAAAATGAGTATTATAAATTTTTCGCTTTAATTGGTATAGCGTGCAATAGAGGGTTAATGATAGCTGGTGTGTGAATGGGTTAATAGCTATCAAGTGAAGCAATGGGTTGATTCAATTCCTGGCTAGTCCATTTTTCTTGACCCTTTTCACCACCTTAACTTAGGTATTTCGGTGCTACTTTATTAGTATATAGCACGCCAAGGCATCATTTGAAATAAAGCGGAACCCTAAAAAAGTTATAAAGAAAATTGGTAATTTTGCTATTTTATATACCCTATATTATATCCCTTCTGGTTTTATTTCCCAAACAACCCCTAAAAAAATTCCTTCTTATGGGTTAGGGTTAAATAGATTAAAAATGGTTTTTTAAAATTTTCATCAAAAACCTGTCAAATCTAACAGATCATGTGGATTATAAATTTGGTGTTAATATTGCAATTTCTTTGAGTTTGACCATAATCGGTAGTATATACTGAAAAGAATATTTTTTAAGCGTTAAATCACATGAACTTTAGCCAGGATTATTCAAGTTTTCTCTTACAAGTCGTCTCAATTGTCGAGTAGAGGCTCAAATCAGATGTTTAGGTTAAATATTTTAGGCTAAAAACTTGTTATGAGGCATATTGTAGTACTCGAAGATATTCATTCCGGTTAAGGGCGCGAAGTATTCCCGTGTTTATTCCCAGTTTTGAACGAACTTTTTTCCAAAACCATTCGACGAAGGTTTGTTCAACACAACCTTAGGTACTGTTTAACATTAACCTATTCAACGTTAATCAAATAAATTATTTGGTAAAATATTAATTTGCAACTCTTTAAAAAAAATGTAGGTATTATTAGTTACAAGTAGTCGAAGTCCGGACCATTGGGTAGTGCCGGGTGGTGGATTAGAGCCCCACGAGGACCCAGAATCAGCCGCTTCGAGGGAAGCTTTAGAAGAAGCTGGAATACGTGGCCAACTGGGACGGTGTTTGGGAGTCTTCGAAGTTAAAAAATATATATCATCATATCTTACATGAGGTATATGTGCCAAGTAATAGTATCGTTTTATTTGTCTATATTATTCTCATTATGTGATAAGCTATTCTTTTTATTTTTTGATATTATTTTTGGTAGGTGAATCATTTTGGTTTAACTACGCGCTCATTTTTATATCAAAATTTTATGACTAGCATTTTAAAAAAAATTGTATTTAGAATTCCGAGAGGAAGCATAGAACTTTCGTATATGTGTTTATGGTGAAAGAAGAATTACCTTATTGGGAAGAAGCATTGAAAATAGGCATGCCTTTTTTATTCATTTATAATCTTTAAAAGTATATTTGCCTTTAGGGTTAGCCTATTTGAATTTGAGCAAACACGTGTTTTTTATTTTAGAAAGACGCTAATTTTCTGGAATCGTATAAGTAACATTTTATGAATATAAGACAATTTTGCTTCTAACTTTTTAAACCACTCTTAAAATATTTATGACTAAATTGTAAATTCATGGGATAGGTATTGTACCTTATACATTAATACGATTCCAGCAAAGTGAATCATTCGAACTTTAAAATAAGTGCGATATAAATGAATTATGAATGATATTAAAAATATCGCTAAAAATTCCTGTATGAAGCATAAACCTGAATTTACTAAAGCCCTACTATATATTCATTACTATAATATTAGGTCGAAGGAGAAAATGGTTCTCAGTGAGGGAAGCGAAGCATGTTTTAGACTTGTATAGGCCATTACAAACTGTTTATCTTAACACACTCAAGGCTTGCCGCTCATAATAATTAATTATAAGATATCATTCTCATGTAAAAATACTATTATAGTTTTAAAAAAATCGCTTTTATCATCATTTCACATTTTTTTACGCAACGACCAGATTTTAATAATATTTTTTTGTTAAAATTAAATTTGCCTTTAAATAATTAATTTCACCAAAATATTATTGTATGGACACTTTGGTTATGTAAAAACAAAACAATTAAATGGTTTCGATTTTTTAAAAATAATTTATTAATTATAAATTTTGCTATATCATAATGTTTGTAATATAATTATTAATAGTTAAATATTTTTTTATAAATATATTATTTACACTCTTATTATACTAAACATATTGACAAAATAAAAATTATCTTCAAAATTTGATCGGCTTTCAGGGATTCAAATCGAATCTCGCCCAGAACGTTAAACCGGTATTAACCATTATTTACCTAACCCACACCGTTAAAAAATTTGTCACAAGAATCTGAAGCGAACCTTTAAAAAGCTCTGTGAACCGGTTTAGCCCTTTTTATATTCTAACTCTTTTAAAGATGATTAATAATCAGTTTTGAGGACTGATATGTATCATAATTTATTTTTATATTGCTATTTGATGGCCAGCTTAGACTATTTAGCCTATAGAAGTTGCAAGTTATTTTTATAACTCATTTTTAATATAATTTTTGTTATGGCGCTAAATCGTGCGATTTAAATAAATTAATTTAACGAATGTAATATTTATTTGCACTGAAAAAAATCTCACAATATAATATTTATTTTAATAAATTTTTATTTTGACTAACAAACTATTCTCAAATTTGATCCTTAAAGGGGGTGTTAATATTTTTAAAAAAGATTTCCTAGATTAAACAAATGTACTATAAAAGTGCTCGATTTGATGTAAGCCATTATATTTAATAATAGCAATTTTAAATTTGGGAAATCAGCATTTAAAGATATTAAGCGAGATATATAAAAAGTATCTAGTTGCCTTTTGTCGTTACATTCCAAAAAATTAAAATTATACTAGTTAAATATTTTTAAAAGTAATTATGTGCAGATATTTTTTTGCAATATTTTAACTAGTTTCTTTAACAATACTATGGAATCTAAGTTAATAAATACTCTATGTCATCCAATCAAAATTTTCAATGATGCTTTTTTTCCAACTGAAATATTTTTAGATATCGTGATAATAAGAATCCGTGAATTGTCTCTTTCGAAAAAAATAGGATTTTGAGCTTTGTATGTCCTGCTGGGCTTGATGGCAGCATCATCGACAAAATATAGGCTCAGTCAATTGTCCAAATATATTAATGTTATTTCCTGATTGAATATCATAATTATAAAATGAATTTTACAAAATTATATGGAAATTTTTTATTCTTTTTTTAAATTATTTTGTAATGGGATAAAAATAGATAAACGTAAGAAATTATCAAAGTTATTACTGAATATTTAATTTTAATGCATTGTTGTTGCCAGATCAAAATTTCCAAATTGCGGAGTGCGGGGAAAACCCGGCCTTCGACTGGGTTTGTGAAATGGTTTGCCTCTCCTATTAATTCTTATAATTACTTTATATAGTAACAAAGTCAGTAACGTTTTGTAATCTTTTTCAAAATAGGTAATAGAGAATACATGCTTGCATATTTTTCCAAGCTTGGGGATTTATCGTTATTACGAAATAATTATTCCACATCATTTATTTTGGAGAATTATAAAAAATAAAAAACATCAATCTTCCCTAACCAGATATTAATATCTAGCGGTATTTTTAATATATTTATTAAATTACGAAATCCATCAATTGGTGGTTTTTTGTTCTAAGGTAACATTTGTAGATCGAATTATTAAACAAATTTTGATTGCTAATAATCTAAAATTGTTTTAGTAAAAATATCTATTTCATTTAAAAAGCCCTTAATTAGAGGAATATTTAAACAATTATGAAAATAGAGATCTATGTATAATGTTTAGCTAACCAATCAAAATATACATTCATTAAATTTGATCAATTGATAAGTGAAAATAATTTTATGAATTTATTGTAAAGTAACATAGAAGTTAAATAATATATATTAAGTTTTATTCATTTAGAATAAATTTAGAATTTATATAAAATAAAACAGATCTCGTTACTAATCTCTCATATGAACATAGTTGAAATTGAAAACTTATTAAGCTTCAATTGAGTAAAAATTAAATTTAATGTTCCAAACCAATAAAAGTTTCAAAGCGCATATGTCAAAATTATTATCAGTCTGACTCTATGCAGTTTTCAACCCCACCCCCACTCCCCTTTTTATATTTTAATACCTAATTTTTTTAATATTGTTTTTAGATTCTATTTTAATATGATGTTTATATATGTTATTGTAGTTTAATATGTAAATTTTCTTAAATATATATATTTTTTAAAATAAATAAAAGTCTTGAGATAATAATAAAAGATTAAATACTTAGGCAAAATAAAGTAACGATTAGGGGTAAATAATGTTAAAGATAAAACAATGAAATATAACATTTAAATATTTTTAAAATAAAACCTTTATGTTAGACTTATTCAAAAAGAATACGAATAACAGAAGGGGAACCCCCCCCCCCTCCTCATAACCATATGGTTTAAATTAAAGATTATATGACTAAAATATTAAATAACAGGGGGGGGGGGCTATAAAGATATTTTGTAAATATTTTATGGCATAGTAGAGCCGAGGATGGAGAAAAAATACGATCTGCATATCTAGAAAGATATTTTTTGAAAAACAATTATAAATTTAATAATATAATTTATATTGTTAAACAAATTAGATAGTCTAAAAATTTTTTATAATTTTTAATTAAAAGAAAAATCGTTTAATTTGGTAAAGATAAACAGCAAGCTTTGATTTTCTTTTGCCAGTTGAGTCTGAATTGTTGATTACACTTGAAAAGCGAGAGAGTATTAAAAAAATCTCAGAGTACTCTGATGATTTATCATCGTATGATAATTTACTTTGTGATGTCGAATTTTGTTATAAAATCCTGACAGAATAGAGTACTCTTTGAGATCAAAAAATGCTCAGGCCGTTTTCATGTGTAATTGCACTTTAGATTCCCTGCCTAATATTAAAACGTTTTTTTTATTATTTTAGTTACCTTCCCGATTAGTACCTGCACTAATGAAAGGTCTTTTTCAACTTAGAAAAGATTAACAATCTATTTAAAAATGGATTAGCCCTATTAAATATTTATAAGGAGATTATTCTAAATAAAAATTTGATTCCAGATAATTAGCCAAATTTCAGAGAAAAGTAGATCTCTCTTTATAAATTCAAATCATAAAATTGCAATATGATTATAATATGTTCTTAGTCATAAAATTTTTATATGCAAAACTTAGTTATAATCAATTGAACATTACACATTGATAAAATTTTCAGAATAATGCTTTCAGTTGCCTATTAATCATAAATTTGGACAAAATTTTATTATTAATATTATTCGCTTATGCTGGTCTTTAAGTGGTTAACCACTAATAAAGCACAAAATATTGGCAAAGTATTTCCAATTGTTCATCCAACTTTAACAAAGATGATAAAAAGATCTAAAAAATTAATATATTATAATATTTTTAGAAACCCGGCCTAAGGCCAGAGGAAAGAAAGTTTGGGGGCGAATCCTCCTCCCCCCAAACCCCCCTCCTCCCTTATGGATAAATCCACTGATGAATAAGAAATTATGGATATTCGATCGTTTTAAATCGATTGCCTAATTTACTATTCATAATTATACAAATCGAATAAAAATAGTAAATTTACTTAATTTTTTTAAAAATAATCATAGCCTTAATAAATAGAAACCTTTGTAAGGGTTCACCTTTTAATTTTTTTTAATGGAATTTTAGTTCCGATTAGTCAAAAAAATATAGTACGGTTAGATTTTTGACGATTCGCATAGATCATTAAATACAACTTTCAACATGTATCAATCAGATATTATTTGTCGTGGTTAAACCAACTGTCATCGTTGGACTTTTACCCCCTCATACCCTTTCGATTAATTAGGTGAAGCTACGCGATATACAGAAAGATACTCTTGAGGTAATTATAAGGAAACTTTATTAACGACGCTGGCGTAATGGGAAATTGTCTGCATTTAAAATAAAATTACCTTCCCATTTCGGGCCTGCATCAATGTCCCCGAGCAGTTATATAGGTTTAAATTTATGAATAACGCATTAGCTATAAATTTTCTCGCCAAATTTAAAATTAATGTGACGAGAAAATTCGTAGCTAATTTAAAGAGCTAAGACGGGCCATTATATAAAGGAAAACTATAGTACACAGTTATTCATAATACCATTTAACATAGAACAATCATTTATTAAATTATACTCCCCTTTTTATATTATACAATAATAAAAATGATACATATTTAAATAAATATATTTTTTTAATATTATTCATTTGTGTATGATCCACTTATATTAACTTTGCTTATATCAAATGGTTGTCCTAAAAAAGGTGAGCCTGGTTTGTTCCACGCTTCTTTTAATTTATCTGCCATGACCTAATAATATTTGTTTTTTGTAAATAAGGTGTTCTTTATGCAAAATATTAATGTTTCAATGTGTAATATCTAAGGTATCAAATATATTATTAAAATGATGTAAAGTAAAAATGTTAAAATTCACTGTTTAGTGAGTTTAAAAGAAGAGATTTTGGAAATCTTTATTGTTTAAATCGGCATTACCACATAAGGGTAAAATGCAAATAAAATCGTTGTTTTGGAGTAGCGTTTGCCACCTGATTGGTGATTAATATTCACCGCATTGAGATCTGGTTTCGATAAGGATGATTTTTTCTGAAGCTAGCCCAGATGGTTTTGTGCACTGTTGTAAAATACATAGCAGATGCCGAATGATTCCGTTAGCATGTATTAAAAATTGGTATTACATTTAATAAAATTTCGCTATTTCCTAAACGGTAATTTTTAACAAAACTATTTTTTGGAAGGAAAAGTAACTTCAATCGTTACTTTTTAATTAATTTTTTCCCCCAAAAAAGTATTTTTTTAAGAATTTTAATTTAGTTTCATCAATTAATATACCATTTGTTGAGAGGTGGGTTTGCCCATAACTTTCTGTTGTTCGTCGTAAACAAGTCTTTGGACCGTATTTTGCTCATCCTCGGGAAGATCTTCCATGTTTTGCGATAATTCCAAATCCCCGAGACTTATACTTTTTTCATTTTGCAATAGGTTAGGCCACATTCTTGGTACCATCTTTTCCAAATTTACCTTGAATTTTAAATTATGTTTTAATTCTTTTAAATTATGTGCATACATAGCTATAACAAAACATATTTGTTTAATTTTACTAGATAATTTATTTTACGAATTAATATTCTTTTAATAAATTAATTTATAAAGCTAAATACTATTAAATCTGCAACAAGGGTTTGGGCAGTTGTTAACGATATTAGAAAAAATTATTCAAGCTACAAATTTATCGGGCAAAAACTACTCGTGAATTTAGCTTAATCTACAAACCAAAAGCTTCGAGCCCAATTCGGGTTAAGAGATTTAAAATTGGCTTGATTGTACATTTAGAGAGCACGAAACAGAGATTCGTTTATTGACAACACATCCAACCGGGTCGTGCTTTAAAAAAATTGGTAAAAATTTTTGAAGCCCTGATATAAAACTGGTAAGCGGATAATAATTCCCCGAGAAAAAAAATCCCAGGAAAAAAAATTTCCCTGGAAGTAAATTCCTTATTTTTTTTATTTTAAAAAATATGAAGTAAAAAAAATAAATTCCCTTAATAGTTTTTTTTAAATATCAAAAATTAAAATTCCAAATATTTTTTGTAAAAGTTCTTTTATATATAATTAAATATTTTGCATTCTTTACATAAAAAATCTCTAGTTGAAATCACAATTTTTAAAAATTAATCCTCAAAAATTTTTGCTCAAAAATTTATGAAGATTTTTTTCAAACTCAGTAGTTTTAAATTTAACAAAACATTTATCACAAAACACATTTTCACAAAATTTTTATCACGAATGTTTATCAAAGCAAATTGATTTTATAGATAAATGTCGTGAATCTACATTCGCATGCATTCAGCGAAGACCATATCGAGAATTTTTTATAACAGAACTTTTACCGAGATCAGAGCTAATATATAACAACGAAACTTTTAGTCAATTTATAATAACGAACAAAAATCTTATGGAGAAGGCGAAATCAAATTGCGAAGGCAATTTAAAGAAAACTATTTTGCTAATCATATATAGAGAATCTATTAATGCGAAATCAATATCGGGGAAAAGCGCGAAAGCAATAGAGCGATAATGGTTAATCTTAATAGTGACTATTTTTTAAATCAGTAGAAAAAATTATTTTATTCTTGCATATATTTTTCTAAGTAATTTATCTTTTTAACTCAATATCCATTTTTTGGGCAATTCTGTTTTATGTCTGAGCATTAAGAAATAATTCTGGATATTCAGTATTTTTTCTGAGCTTTGAGTATTCTCACGTTTAAGTGATGTTTTAGTTTTTATTCTGAGCGAATAAATTGCTCAAATAAATAATTATAGGTATAACTATTTTATAAACGGGAATTGAGAATATGAGGAGTAAATGTATGTTAAACTAATCCTTATTGAAAAAAAATCGTGTGATCAACCATTTTTGAAGGTAATTGCGAAAATACTCAATTAAAATCTCCCAATTGGATATTTAAAAAAACTTCTTGGAAATAATAAATAATTTTATAATTTTTTTTAAAAAAAAAACTATGTTCTAAAAACTTGTAAAAAGGAATCATTTATTAAAAGAAAAAACTAATATGAGGGTATTTTTTATAAAATTTCTTCCAGTCATTATTATAGTTGGGTTATGACTAAATGTGGGCTAATTCGGCTTAATATGCGCAAGCCGGAGAAAAACCGTTACCATTAAGGCGTTTTAATATATAATAATATTTTTCAAATTTGAGTTGCTATATTTTTAAGAAAAACCTCGATTTAACTTAAAACTTAGTTTAGCCAATTTATTTTTTAGTCGGCTAATAATTGTCTTAAAAGGATAAAAATATATTAATTATAAACGTTTAAAAATCTTTCCCATATATATCAAAAAGTTGGGGAAAATGTTTAAAGACAAACAAAATTTTATTTTAAAATCTTTTAATTAATTGAAGTCACGAAACTTCTAAAAGTGAATTTTTAAAAAAATTTAACCAAAATGTTAACTTATGATAAAATTTTGCTTTATATCACAGAAAATAAGTATCGGAGGTAGATTTTGCTTTATATCACAGAAAATAGGTATCTTGGAGGTAGTTAAGTTTAAGGGCATGCATTAGTATATTTTCTAATAATTATTTTGTTAAAATTTCATTAAAACTGGGTTCGTAATAAGACCATAACGTTAAACATTATATGGTTTAGGGTTATTCGATAATATTTTAAAAATTAGGTTAAGTTTAGTAAATCATTAACTACTTTTTATTGTTTACAATTTTGGCTAACAATTATGTTGGGGAAATCTTTTTAAGAAATATATTTTCCAGGAAATTTTTTTATTTTGTTATTTTCTCAAAATTTTTAAATATTTTATTTGAGGAATTTTATGGATATATTTATAGGAAATTCTTTCTTCTATTTTATTAATTTTCTAATTTTTTAATATCTAAAAAAGGGGGGAATTTTTTTCCGGGGAATTATTTTCTGTGGGAATTTTTTTCCTGGGATTTATTTTCCTAGATTCTATAAAACAACTTTTAAAAGAGCAGTTTAGTTTTAACCAGTAATATTTTGATCTGATTGCGTGTTCCAGAACAGGTTCTCAAAAAAAGATTCCAGATTCATAATAATTTATTTAAAATTATAAATGAATGTAGATTTATAGAGATAATAAAACATTTAAAATCGAGCTACTTTTAATAATATGGTTCCCATATGATTACCTTCCTTTCAAAATCAATGATTTTATAAGGACATTATGCGAGTAAAATAATGTTATACATGTAAAATATAATCTGATTTTTTTATGGCTCTTACCCGGTTTTTGGTTTCGTTTCTCTTAAATTACATCTTTGCTTTAACGACAAATTATTCGTTTTTTTTTGAAAAAAATGATAAACGGCGTTCCTTTTATTTTTAACGAACTTTGAATGTGAACGCGTTCCTATTTTATGATGAACGCTTTCGAATTTAACGTTCGTTCAAACACTTTTTATTTATTTATTTGAAAAATTTAATATTAATCTGAATTTTTTATGAAAAAAGTCTTATATTTTATTTTATAATCTTTCCTTTTTCACATTTCAAATTTTTTAACACGCCATTATTATAGTTTATTAATTTGGATATTATTGTTTATATTTTAATTTAATAGATTAGCATAAGCATGGATATTATTATTTCATCCTCATCATCTAATTCTGAAAATTAAAAATCAGATGAATTAACACCATGGCCTAAATTTGATAAATATTTTACAGTATCATCCTATACTGAAGGAACATGTAAAATGTGCCCCAAAATCTTATAAGTTTCAAAATCTCCAAGTTCCAATTTAAAACGACATTTTATTCTAATATTAATTATTTTTATAATATAATATAGCTAAGTAAAATCATTAAATTTGAAGAAAAAATGCATTTGGGCTATGTGACTCCAACAATAACGATAGTTATTTTAAATTTAAAAAAAATTAGTGGCCTCAAATATGCAACCATTGATAGATGCAGTATTAAATGGGATTAATAAAAGTTATTAAACCTGTCACTATCAAATTAATTACAATGAAGAAATTATGTTCTTTCTGCAATTATACATTCAGTTCAAGTTTTAATAGCCATGGATAAATCTTTCACAGAAGGAACCTATAAAAAATAAACTTATAGTTAGTGAAAAACTGCATTGGAAACCCTAGAAATTATTATACAAGAACTGTTAATTTCGAGATATCCTTTTTTTTGACGAGGAAGTAGAGGATGGATTGGAGGAGGATAATTTATCTCAATTTTTTGAAGGAAAGGATAAAACAATAAATGTTTTTAATAAATTTCCCACGTTAAAAGAGTTGTTATTAAGTATAATACCGCAATCCCCTCATCTGCATCTGTAAAGCGCGTCTTTAGTATAGCTAATGCTGTATTAACTGCCAAACGTTCCTGTCTATCTAACGTTGTTAAACGGCTCGTTTTGAGCCGATTTTTAAAAATGGCTAACTCAATATTTTCGCCAGAAAAATATTGACTAAGCCTCGAAATTTCGATACTATATGTCTAGACCTTTGCTCCTTTTATGAACAAAATTTCCAGGCTTGATTAATATTTTTCTGGATAAAATACTGTTAACCGTTTTTAAAAATCGGCTCAAAACGAACCGTTTAACAACACTATCTATCAGATGAAAATTTTTAAAACAAATGTTAATAAAAATTAATAAGAAAATGTTTTATAAATAAAAATGTCTTTTTATTCGCTATATTATATTGTTATATTATCAAAATAAAACTATTTAACATGTCTAATATATTGTGTTAAAAAATATAAGACGTTTATTTACATTAAATTAAATTTTAAAAAAATTTATCATAAAATTTTGAACGGTGAACGCGTTCCTTTTTTTTGAAAGTGAACATGTTCGATTTTTGTCAATTAACGTTGAATGCGTTCGATTTTTTTAGAAATTTTTACAGCACTCTTAATCAGAGTTATTAACGCTTCTTTTTAAAAGTAGCTAGCTCCCGCTCCCGCTTCTACCTTCTCAAAAGGAGCTAGTTCCCGCTCCCGCTACTACATTTTTAAAAGGAGCTAGCTCCCGCTCCAAATAATGGAGCGCCACTCCATAACTGCTACTTTGATTTTAATTTTTTAGAAGGTACACAAAATAAAATCATATTTTTATCAAAAGGTTTTATTTATATTAAATGATCTATCTAACTATTTATAATATTTTATTAGCCTTTAAAAGTAATAAATTTTCTAAATTAGAATCTAACAAACATCCACGCCTCTCCCCTATGGCCTGTTTTGCAATACTAAATAAGCGCTCCACAGGAGCACTAGAGGGAAGCGGGGTATTGTATTTTATTTTTTTCTCTTTAGCTTTCACCTTTTCTGGTGGTAAGCTCCTTCAACATCTCTCTCCACTTTATGTTATTAATACAATCTCTTTTATCTAATTTATACTTCTTTATATTGGCTCTAACTTTATGGCCCCATTGAAGTTTTGGTCTTCCTCTTTTACGTTTGCCCATTACTTCCAAACTCTTAA